TGAGTTACAGCTCAACTTACTTAATGATGGAACTCCTACTCGTTTTAACATTCATGCGGGAGATTCATCTGCAATCGATTTAAGTTTTTGCGATCCTGTTTTGTCTCCTCAGCTCTGGTGGGAGTCCTATTATATACATATAGTAGCGACCATCATCCCATTATTATCTGAAATTTTACTAGACAACAATGTACTTACGAGTTTTTACCCAAATGGAAAACTGAATTAGCAAACTGGCCAGAATTTAAAGACTTCATCGATAAATCTAAGGAAACTTTATTCTAAAAAATAACATCAAGATACTTAGAAGACTTCAATAATATCATTATACAGAGTGCAAAACAGTTTATAGTAAAACAAATCAGCCAAAAAATCATACACCCGTACCATGGTGGAATCCTGACTGCAGTGAAGCGATTAGGCAAGTAAAAAAGCTTTTATAAGTATAAAAAACATAAAAATCTAGAGAATAAGATTGTATATAAAAGACTTAAGTCTAAAACTCAACATTAATCAAACAAGCAAAAAAAACCAAGTTGGATTAAATATGTTTCTAATGTAAACAGCTCCACGTCAATAAGTGAAGTTTGGTAAAAAAATCGTAAAATTTCCGGTTTTCAACAGCCACCCACAGTATCGAGCCTAAAGTAAATAACAAATAATTACATCACCAAAGAAATTGCCAACATATTGGCACAAAATTATACAAAAATATCTTTCAATGAAAACTACGACCCTGTTTTTCTTGAAAACAAAATCCAATCCGAAAATTATAGCACAATTTCATATGAAATTAACGATAATCCTCTAAATCTTCCTCTAACGCTTCATGAATTGAATGATTGACTTAGAGATTTGAGGATACTAGTCCTGGACCAGATGATATACCATCTATTTTTTTAAAACAACTTCCTAATGCAGATACAGGTTATGCTACAGATATTTAATTTCATATGGCAGCAACACCAGTACCCGACAATTTGGACTAAGGCTATTGTTCTCCCATTTCTTAAACCTCAATGCCCCCGTCTAGACCCCGAATCTTATGGACCCATAAGTTTGACGTGCTCCATGGGAAAATTACTAGAAAAAATTATCAATACAAGGCTCACCTGGACACTTGAAAGTTCAAATCTACTAACGAATGAGCAAAATGGTTTTAGACAAAATGATCAGGCATAGATAATATACTAGATTTAGAAAGCAATATCCAGGAAGCACTTGCAATGCTTCAATACACTAGACTGCAGAGTTTACGATGGGCAGGGCATGTGGCCCGCATGCATGAGAACAGAATCCCAGTAAATTACTAACGCAAGAATGCAAGGAAAAAGACTGTTGGAAGACCAAAAAAGAGATGGGAAGACGAGGTAGATGAGGATGCCAAAAATCTCCTAAAAACGCGTTCATGGAAAAGAAAAGCAGTAAATAGAGATGTTTGGAGAGGTTTAATAAAGGAGCCAAGGCCTGCTTGGGCTGTAGTGCCATTGGATGGATGGACTAGCAATGCGACAACACTGTATAGCAATATTTTTCGATATAAAGAAAGCATTCAACACGTGCTGGAGATATAATATTTTAAAAAAGCTGCACTCATGGAATATCCGGGAAACTCTCTAGAATTTATTAAAAACTTTTTACGACAAAGAGCATTTCAAGTCAGAGTTCAAAGTTCATATTCCGAAGAACATATTGAGGAAAACGGAACCCCTCAAGGTTCTATAATTAGCCCGACATTATTCCTAATCGCCATAAATGATATAATTAAAAATTTACAAAAACCTTTGAAAGCTCGTCTTTACGCAGACGATTTGGTGGTTTATATCAAGGGCAAAGATTCTTCACTTATGTCGAAATACTTACAAAATTTTCTAAAACAACTGGAAGAATGGTCCTACGACACAGGATTTAAATTTTCCGTATCTAAAACAGTGGGAATGGTATTCACTAATAAACCTTACTTATTTCAGTAAACCAATATTAAAGTTTTTTTAATTTAGAGCTCATGTTTAAAACAGACATAAAATTCATGGGAATGTGGTTGGACAAAAAACTATCCTGGAAAAAACACATAGATCAACATGTCGCATCGTGCAATAAAATATTAAATATATTAAGAACTTTATCTAACAGGGATTGAATACGATACACTAATGAGTCTATATAAAGCATTAATTAGATCTAAAATAGATTTTGGCTCCATTGCGTATATTTCTGCATTCGACACAACACTAAAACCATTAGATAGTATACACAATACCGCATTAAGACTTGCTTTGGGAGCATTTAGAACAACACCAGTAGAAAGTTTATATAGTGAAACTGGAGAACTATCTTTACTACACCGTCGCATTTATTTAACATTAACACATGCAACTTCTATAGCATCCAATCGAAATAGACCTATTTTTGATAATACATTCAATAATAAACATACACTTCGAAATAGATCTAATTCACACAAACCTTTCTATGAGAGAATTTGATTCTATCTAAGACATTTAAACCTAGATTTTCCAGATATATTTCAAATAAATATGAACCATCCTCCACCTTGGTGTACCAATATCCCCGAAATAAATTATAATCTTACTGTATTTAATAAGCATTCTACAAATCCGGCTTTTACTAAAAATAACCTCAATTCAATCATAAACAAACATGGAGAACATTGCTGCAGGATGTTTACAGATGCATCCAAATACAACTCAGGAGTTGGTGCTGCATACGTAACGTCTAACAATCAATTTAAATTCAGACTGCCCAAATATTTCAGCATCTTTTCTGCTGAAATTTATCCAATACTCAAAGCTCTTGAACATATCAACAATAATAATTAAATACCAAAATGCTTGATTCTAAGTGATTCTCTTGGTGTTTTACAAACCTTAAATCATATGTATCCTAAAAGCACCTTGGAAAAATAGTAAAATCTGAACTAAAGTAAGCTGAAGAAAATTCCAGACGTATTACTTTTATATGGATCCCATCTCATATTGGTATTGATGGAAACGAAGCTGCAGACCAGTGCGCTAGTAATGTGTCGGAAAGTGTCGAAACAGATGTAACGGATTGTCGAATTCCCGCGGGTGATATAAAAACGTCTATAAAAAATTTAATTACGTGTAAGTGGAATCAAGAATGAAATTATTCACAGACAACACTACGGAAAATTAAAGACAATGTTTATCCATGGCTACCTAGAACTCGAAATCGAAAACTGCAAACCATCATTACTCGTCTACGTTTAGGCCATATAAGATATACGCATTCGTACCTTTTTACCAGAGATAATCCCCCTAAATGTGACATTTGTGACGAAACAAACAGTGTTAAATATTTTTTAATTGACTGTCCACTTTTTGTAAATGAACGCAACAGGTTCAATATTCCAAACAATATCAATAAACTCTTAGGTACAGACTTTAATTATGTTGATTTGGGAAAATATTTAAAATGTATAGGATTGTATTATAAAATTTAAACTATTAGAATTGTACTAATAAACTATTAGAATTGTAGAATTGTAAACTTTTTCAAAAAAAATCCCCTTCTTTTAACTTAGAAGAGCTCAGTATTTCTTCACTTTCCTGTTGCTCTAATGAATAATTTTTATTTTTTCATTTGCCAGAAAAGATTCTAAATCCTCGTCACTTGAATCCTTTGTTATATTTTTTATCACTTTATCAGATTCATTTAAACTGTCGCAGAGAACCTTCTTTTGACTGACTTTGAGTTTTTCACCTTACTTTGCAATAGTTCCTCATTCTTCGGGGTGTCAAAATTCTTGTTTTACCACGATTTCGTCCCTTTTGAGAAGTCTATCGAGCTACGGCTTTGGGGAATGAGCGCACTACAAACGGGCTTTTGAAGTCAGCGTTATTTGCCTTGTTGTCATTAGACTGCAGTAGAAGTGCCGGTGTCAAGTTTGATGTTGATGTATTTGTGGATAGTTGAAGGCTTGATGAGCAAGATGCCGTATTAGGATTCTTTTCTGATTCTGGATTTGGACGATCTGTTACATAGGACGACAGATATTCGTGTCGCCAAATATATTTTCATTAACAGGCCGAATCATTGCCACTCATTAGCTATGGTGTTGTGGTCGGTTTTGTATAATCCAAAAACAGTCCTGTGAAGAGGTTGAGTTCTGTGCAAGGTGTGTGGCGCCAACGTTGATAAATATTATTTTCTTTAGCCAAATCAAACACGGAAACTGCAATATGGGACTCATGATTATCTAGTATAACTAGCACTTTTTCTTGCTCTCTAGGCTTAAGGTGGATTATAAAATACTGCAAGTAGTGTAAAAAAAACCTTCGCGTTTGACCATCCTGATATATTTGTGCCTCCAATTGAATCCGGTGGTGTACCATGTAACATATGGTCATCGAAAAACACGCTATGGAATATCAATGTGGACGGTACATGGCTACCGATGGCATTAACCGCATCAATCAAAGTTACATTGATCCCTCTTTCTCCGGATGTCATGCTACCCAGTTTTTTTTACACATTTTAAGGCTATTATCTTAGGTGAGACATTAACTGAAGATTTCCCGGTTTCAACTAAATTATAGATATTGGCAGGTGAAAACTTATAGACATTACTGTTTTAAGATTGTTGAAAAAAGCTTGGATATTTTCTTTGTTTAAACTGGTTGTCCTTGCCAGGTTTGTAGCCTCGGGTTTCCTTAACGACAATGATGGATAAAGTAACTTAGCCATTCTTTGCCTGCAGTTGTATTTGAAGTCCAATTGTCTGGTGTTTTCATCTTGTTTTCACATGTGTATTGAAATGCTAAGATTCTTGCATCTTTTTTTGTGAGTCCATAATGAAGCGATGAGAGCGAAGCAGAGTAGTTAAAAATGTTGTATATACATATTTAAGTTAAAGTTTCGTTTAAAATAATTGTAATTAGTTAATAATAGGATTATGTTTAAACAAAATGCCCTAGGCTTTAACAGCCTGTTGTACGTAAAAATAAATAAATACTCACTATATAAATCATACATTGCCAAAATATCATCATACCCCAATTGAGGAGGATTGTCAGAACCCTGATAATAAGGAAACATGATTGAACTTCTAACCGGAGAATGGGCAAGACCCAACGAGTGCCCCAACTCGTGTAAAGCTACAAAGTAGAAATCGGTTCCATCTTCATCATGATCTTTCTGCGATTTATCGATCCAGTGTTCGTCAGCATCAAAATGGATGTCTCCTCCAAGTTGATTTAACGCATCAGGAAAAAATGCGTGTGCTAGTATCCCACTTCTGCCATCAAAGGGAAAACTAAAAGACAAATAAAAGATTACAGCGCATGTTACGGTTTAACAATGTTCATACGCACCTGTCTCCGTGATATCCTTGCGCAAATTGTACAATTATATCAGCATTTGGAGAAGGATTTCTGAAGAAGTTTAACCTTCCATAACCTCCCCATGTATCTAAGGCCTTCTGGATATGTTTTTGAACGGTTGCTTCCCCTAATACTGGAGACCAATTGGCTAAACTAAAAACAACCGATTTTAACTAAACCCCGTAGCACTTTTATAGTAAATAAATTATTGTAAAATTAGAAGCACAAAATACAAACATAGAAATTAAAATTTCTTATATTTCAGATACTAGAGCTATCGTAATGCCACTAAAAAAAACTAAAGATAACTATGTAGAAGAGAGAATAATTATACAATCACAAATTAATCCCTTAATTTGTAATCTCACATTATTGTTAAGTGCTTTCCTTAAGTATTGCAATGACGGCCTAGATTAAATTGTATTGTAAGCTCATAGTTAAAAGTTTGTTAGTATGATAGAAGCATTACTCCACAACTTTAACATTTTATTGTATTTACCATCGTCGATCGAGAAGAAACGAACAAAGGGGCAGTATAAAATGATTCGACCCTTATAACTACATTCGAATCTGTCCATAAAACTATAACAATGGGATATCAGGAGCAGAGGATTGGAAATGAAAACCGATTATTCTGTAAAGGACAAGAATTGGAGATAGTGAGATTAAATGATGGAAATCTAGATCATGGGAAAAAAGGGAAATCAGTCAGGAAAAAAATTATAGTGTATAAATAAAAGACTTGAAAATTTCACAAATACAGCCAAAATGAAGTTACTAAAAAATAGACAAGAACACGAAGCTAAAAAGGAAAAGAAACAATGGAAGAGAATATATATAAGTAAAAAATGATATTGTCAAAAACACAGGAAAGAGAAGGATGAGGTAGGTAAAAAATTAAACACTATGCGCCATCAACTTTTTCATTTTTCATTTCACAAAAGACATAAATATTCATTTAAACATGTAAATGATAAAAGAACTTACTGATAACTGATATTTCTCTTTTCCCAGCCTTCAGGACCTAGTACATATCGTTTTTGACGACTATTTTGGATTATATCAGGTACTCCACATCGAGGTAAGGTCATCAGCTAAAAAGAACTTAATGTTATGAGGATTTTACAATGAAAACTTAATTGATTGTTTTAAAGGTACATATAAATGAGATTCTTTTGAATTGACAACCAACATGAAAGCACAGGTGGTTTCAATACTGTTAAAATACACTGGCTACTTTTTAGTGGTTGTAGTATTAGTATAATGAATATTAGTATAAATGCCAAAAAAGTGCTACTGTATATGAATATGACTAAAAGCCCACTACCCATAAGAGCGATATATATCTATACTATTTTTTTTTAATTATTAATAGCAAATCATAGCAAAACCTAAATAATTTGTCACTTTGAGTGTTTTTTACTAGATTAAATAGCATTTTACCTTTTTGATAACTACTATATAGTTAAAATTAAAAAAAAAATCTAACCCCCTCTGTGGCTCAGTGGTAAGAGCACCTACCTTTAAACCTAAAGGTCGTGAGTTCGAATCTCATCTGGGTGGAGAAATTTTCATTTATTAAAAATTAATTAATGAAAATAATTTCTATCCTTGTGCGTCTCTTAGCAAAGACAATAACGTCGACTTTGCTAAGTATCAAGACAATTACTCTACACACACACACACACACACACACACACACACACACACACACACACACACACACACACTACACTAGGTACCTGACTGTACCATGCCAATGATCATAGTTGTCGAGGCACTAACCCAATAAAAAAAAATAAAAAAAAAATTGCCCACAGAATGAAAACACATTACCTTGTAAGCCCCGTGGTTACGGATCTGTATATATAATTCCTGAAATTGAAATAATGCGTACTTACTCTTTTTGTAGCATCATCAAATACACCTGTCTCCTCAATGCCTCCAAATCTTTGCATTACTTTAATAATTTCGGAGATTCCCCCTTCTGTATATAGTGCCTCGGAGTCTCCAGTGTCCATTTTAATGTAGCCATATCTTTTCATAAATTCTAACTGAAATAAAAAATATTTAAAACAATTTTATTTGTCACTTGATAATTACTATCATTGACAGATTGAAATTTGAACCTGAATAATATATTTAACATATTTTTTCGAATTATACATTATAATAAAATAATTAAGCTATTATAAATATATAGGTATAACAGAAACATACATAAGAAATAATTGTGAAACAGCAAAAAAAAATAAAACTGATCTGCAGAAAAAAGATAATACAGGGAAATGAAGTAACAAGATATGGAAAATCATATGATAAACAAAGAGATTAGGAATTTTTCCAAAAGATCATGGTCAATAATGATACGGATCACACAATTGCATGTTATGCAGAAAATAATAATATTCTAGCCTAACCTAATAGGTGACTTATCAAGCAAACTAGAGATGTGAGCAGAATACTCTGAGGAACTGCTAAACCCAGAGAAATTACCAATGAAATACAATCACAAACCGGACTGGAGCAAAACAACAATGAGGCAGAAATACCTACCAAATTTATTCCAAGTTAGTGGAAATGACCTTAAAAGAAACATTCGATTAAAGTAATCCTGAAAGAAAATTTATCAGAGTCTTTTACCGAATTGAGATAAGGACATGCACTGCCCACAACTTTATCTACCTTATTGTAGAAGCTATTCTATAATAAAGTAGTGTAGAGACAGATGGTATAATACGCTACAACAGACAACAAGTTATCGCTTTTGCATACGGTATAGTATTGAGTGGTACTTGCCTACTTAAGAAAATAAAAAACCTTTTTAACATGTGCCTTTTGGACAGTAATATACCCGACAAATGGCACAATGCTGAGGTAATTATATTGTACAAAAAAGGGGTTCCCCATAAATTAGAAAACTACAGACCTATAAGTCTTCTTAGTCACCTATACAAACTCTTTACAAGAATAGTAACGAATCGTCTTGAGAAAAAACTTGATTACTACCAGCCAATAGAGCAAGCTGGACTTCGTACCAGATTTGGAACAAATGATCACCTACAGAGCAATAAAATGGCAATAGAAAAAACTATTAAATACAATCGACCACTCGTTCTGGCTTTTGTAGATTTCCATAAAGCCTTTGACACCGTAAAATTTGACAAAATCCTGGAAGCACTACAAGCATGCCGCATTGACTACCGATATACAATGTTAATTTACAATACATACAAAAACGCAACTATGTCGGTGAAACTACATGAAAACACGGATCACATCCCAATTGACAGAGGAGTCCGACAGGGTGATACCTTATCGCCTAAACTGTTTACCGCAGTACTAGAATATGCTTGTAAAAAACTTAACTGGGAAGAGAAAGACCTGAACATTGAGGGTAGAACATTAACAAATTTAAAATTTGCAGACGATATAATTTTGTTCGTGGATAACCTCAAGGAGATATGTACAATGCTACATAAACTTCAGTTAATGTGTGCTAGTGTGGTTCTTAAAATAAACATCTCCAAAACAAAATTCATGACAAACCTAGTACCTAGCGGAAATATCAATATTGGAGACAACGAAGTAGAGCTGGTGGAAAAATACATATATTTTAGACACGAAATAAAGATCACAAGAGACAACCATACATGCGAACTACGAAGAAGGATAAACCTAGCATGGGCAGCCTATGGAAAACTCAAAGACATTTTTAAAAGCAATATACCAATTTCTTTAAAACGTACAACATTTGACTAATGTGTGTTGCCTGTGATGACCTATGGTGCCGAAACTTTGACATTAACAGCTACAATGAGCAAAATAGTTCAGAGGAAAATGAAAAGATCAATGCTGAGTATATCGATTCGTGACCGAGTTAGAAATGAAGACTTAAGACGAAGAACAGAAGTTACCGATATAATTTTTTGGACCGGACACGTCGCCCGAATCAGTGATGAAAGGTGGACGAAGAGATTGCTTGAGTGGGGGCCGAGATAAGACCAAAGAAGTAGAGGAAGACTCCCTACATGATGGACTGACGATCTTAAGAACATGTCAAGAAATTGGATGAAAAGTGCTCAAGACAGAGCACAATGGACAAAAATGAGGAAGGCCTATGTCCAGCAGTGGACGCAAATGGCTGGGTGATGATGATGATAGTATTGAGTGTAAGATCAAAATCAGAACTAAGAAATATTTAGAATAATGGAAACAGCAGTTAAAAGAGATTAAAATCGCTACGAATACATGCTAGGAGGAAAAGACAAAAAACGGAAATGAGTGGAATAAAATAGTGAACAAAATATAAGCAGTGGGCCTTCAGGCTTGAAGGAATCAGAAAAAAAATAGCTATAAATGGCTCTATTTCTTATTATTTCTCTAATTCCTTCCCTTCATTATAATACTGGTCATCGTCTCTCTTTCCCATTCCATGAAACATAGTTTAAAGCCTGTTTTGTCCATCGTTAGTCTTCCATTCGCAGTTAAAATATAATAAGAACTGTTGTAAAAATTGTAGAAAGATATATTAGATGTATTTGCAAAGGTAGAAACTTTTAAATATTTGGGAAACATCTTCTTTTTCGCGTGCCATATCAGAATTATCCGACGTTAGCGATCATAATTGCGAAGACTTCTTGGTCTTCTGCTTCTTCTTCTTCTTCTTCACGTGCCATCTCCGCTACGAAGGTTGGCTATCATCATGGCAATTTTGACCCTGGAGGCTGCCGCTCGGAACAATTGTATGGAGGTGCAAGCAAACCACTCCCTGTGGTTTCTCAACCATGACATTCTTCTCCTACTCATGCTGCGCCTACCTTCAATCTTTCCTTGCATAATTAGTTGTAACAGTTGATATTTATTCCCACGTGTAATATGTCCCAGGTATTGTAGTTTCCTCATTTTAACACTCAATACGACCTCCTTTTGTTTGTTCATCCTGTCTAATACAACTTGGTTAGTTATCTTATTCTTCCAGGAGATTTTTAACATTCTTTGGTACACCCACATCTCAAATGCCTCCAGCTTACCCATACATTGCTTATTTGGTGTCCACGCCTCCACCCCATATAACAGGACCGAGAAAACATAACATTTAAGCATTCGTATTTTCAGCTTTAGGCTTAGGTTTCGGCTACACAACATTTGTTTCATGTTGTTAAAGGCACTGCGGGCTTTCTCTATTTTATTCTTATTTCTCTGGTGTATTCGTTTGACTCGTTAATATTTGTTCCGAGGTAATTGTAATTTTGTAATCGTTCAATGAGATTCTGTCCTACATGTAAGTTGATATTATTGATACGTTTCTTTGTAATTACCATGAATTTGGTTTTCTTTGTATTCAGTGACAGACCAAATTCTTCACTTGCTTCTACCACTTTGTTTAGTAATCTCTGTAGGTCGTCAATATTTTCTGCTATGAGCGCGGTATCATCAGCATATCGGATATTGCAAATGGGGTGACCGTTGATCTTTACTCCGGCTTTTGCGTTCATAAGAGCTTTTTTACAACTTCTTCCGCGTAGACATTGTCCAAGGTTGGAGACAACACACAACCCTGTCGAACACCTCTTTTGATCTGTATTCTATCTGATATCGAGCTGTTAATTCGTACTGTAGCTTCTTGTTTGTAGTATCCTTATCACTCGCATGTCCCTTGTATCAATATTTTTATTTTCCAGTATTTGCATCAGTGGCCTATGTTTTACTGTATCAAATGCTTTGTTATAATCTAGGAAACACACAAATATGTCCTGATTTACGTCTAAGCATCGTTGTGTTAGAACATTAAAAGCAAACAGTGCCTCTCTAGTTCCTAGTCCGTCTCTAAAGCCAAATTGAGAGGGTCCGATGTCAACTTCCAATTTTTTATATATTCTCCGATGAATGATTTTTAAGAAGACCTTTAATATATGACACATGAGACTGATGGTGCGATGTTCCGAGCATTGTCTCGCATTAGACTTTTTGGGTATGGCTATTATTGTTGTTACTAGCCATTCATTAGGTATGATACCAGATTTGTAAATGCTGTTTAAATAGTTCCACGATCTTTATTAAGTTGTTGCCTTTGATGAGTTTAATGAGTTTAATAATTGTCCCGCATTTGATATCCTAGTCCATTCACGAATGTTCCTAAACCAAGAAACCCGTTTCCGTCCTACACCTTTACGGCCCTCTATTTTGCCTTTAAGGATCAGTTGTAATATCTTATATCGACTTCCTCTTATTATATGTCCCAGATAAGACATTTTTCGATGTCACAGTCTTTAGCATTTCTCTATCTTTGTTGACGCTCCTTAGTACTTCTTCATTAGTTTTCCTTGCTGTCCAAGGTATCTTCAGTATTCGTCTATGAACCCACATTTCCAATGCTTCAATTTCACACTTCTGCACTATACAAAGTACGGACCAAACAAAGCATTTATTATAGCACTAACTATAATCATATTGGGAACCATAATCACTTGAAATCTAGGAAGCGAAAAATATAAATGGATAAATGCTATTACAAGGAAATAATTTCCATCTATAGTATTTTATTAAAATGTGCAACAATACCAACCAAAAAATCCGTTAAACATTTTTTTTTTACTGGAAATTCCATTAACAAGGTCAACTGACACATTTTTCCTGTATGTATTGCACTGCACTGCACAAACCAAAAATGTGGTTTCCTAGAGAGCAATTTTCGAAAACCACCAGGTCGCGTAAATTATAGTTGGTTAGTACAACAAAATCCAAGCGGAAAATACTAGTTCGTGTAGAAAACCAAAAACTTCGTGTAGAAAATACAGGTGCGAAAACCCACATTGTGGTTACTTTACTGATAAACTGAACGTGAATTAGGATTTTAATTGTATGTAAAACTTTCTCTTTAACTTTTCTCAGTTAATAACTGTGGTCTGATTGTATCGTTTTCATCTGATTTAGAATCATTAGATCGGTTTTTAACATCGAAAGAGATTTTAGGAAACATATTGCCTTTATTTTATTATTTAAATTAATATTTTTAAAGGTTATTTTCTTTAAAATAGATGTTACTCTACTA